TAGCTTCACTTCATCACATAAACATTTTGGTCTTATTAAGCTTTTAAAAGTGAAAAAAAATTGGCTTTGGATATATGAATTCTAAAATATGAAAATTGGCTTAGTGACATATGAATTCTAAATAAAATTACTTATGACCTAGCGAAGTAAGAATACAGTGGGTAAGTGTCTTTCATGTGTTCAGGTACCAGTGAAGTTTGTAGCTATAGCTTTTTGTCAGAAATAACTTCCATAACACTGAAAAAAATCTAAGTGGCTGTTACAGATCTCTGAATGCCCTGATAGAATCAGTTCAAAGTAATGGGTTAGAATCAGATCTTTCAAAAACACATGTAAATCAGCTGGCATATAACATACATATCTGATACATATAAAAAGTTACTTATATTCATGTTTGAAGAAGTCAGTGCCCAAATCAGTACCCAAAATATTTCTGGAATGGATACAATATTTCTGGAATAAAATAAGTTTTGTTTCCATGGGCTATAAATTTCAGTTTGTATATCCTAGCTTAGCTTGCAGGTATCTGTAAAAATCAGCATGGAATATCTAGTGTATTGAATATATTACAGTGCAAAATATTTTTTGTAATTTATATGAAAGTACTTGTAACAAATATATACTGTTGCTTATTCGTGGAAAGTTCTTTGTTACTGTACATTTATATATAGACAAAAAGCAATGCTGACAAACATGAATCTCTGTCACTGAATCTCTGAATCTCTGTCACTGGACCATGTTATACTGATGTAAAAATATTTTGAATATTTAGGGTGAAATTCTGTCCCCAACAATTAACAGAAAAACTCCCCTTCATTTTAAAGCAATTTATCAGAGACTCTTTTTACCATAAATACCTTTGTGCTGTATCTTCTAGCTCTAATCCTTATATTCTTTTTTTCCCTTTCTCATCTCATTATCTAGCATAATGCATTTCTTTTTTAAACATCTGTGAATTTTAATATGGAAGTGGAAAGTATGGAGCCAAGTAAAGTTACTGTATCTTTGCATTTGTACATTTGGTAGTATATCAGATTAATAACAGACTGATTGTAATAACTGCCTCACTTAAAATACATCATGGGGTTTAGGACTGTTGAGTTCTGTCTGAAGGTCTGTTAGTGATATACACTGAAATCTTGAACTAGGACTTAATATCTCTATACCTTAGCTTATTAGTTTGAAGTAGGCAAACTATGCACAGTACTTACTTCACAGCATTTCTGTGCAAATTAATCTTTGTAAAGTTCTTTTCATTCCTTGTATAAAAATAATTAAATCAGTGAACAATATTACTGCTTTAATATCAAAATAGATTACAGATGCCCGGACCTAGATATTTGCACTTTTACTAGGCATGTATCCTTTTAATTTTGTTCTGGTTTTTTTGTTATGACTCAGCTTTTGCTGAAGTCAATGGGAGTTTTGCAAGTAACTCCAGTCACCTTAGAATCAGGCTCCTACTGTACAAAGAAGCTGAGCAGAAAATGTGACTCAAATTTTTGAGTCCCTTAGAACCTGGACAAAAAACCTAAAATTGTAGATTAGTCCCAGATAGACACGTGTGTTTTTATGCCTAAATTCTATTTCCATTTTGTTCTAGAAAGATTCTCGTGCCAGTCTCCTCACCCCACTGACTTGGCCCCTGCCAGTAGTCTATTAAGCAAGGTGGCAGGATCTGTCACATGTGGTTAGAACTTTCTCTCATCCTCTTAAACGAATATCATGTGTGCAGGAAAATGGTTTGGTTTAGTAGTTTGTTTGGGGTTTTTTAATGTGAAAACTGGTATGCTAGAAAAGGCACCTGTAGGTCTCTGTACTTGGAGTGGCGAGGTCTGACACTTCACTCCTAGGGAAATTTGTTCTATCATCTAGGGCTGGCTTCTGGGAAAGCTCCATTCCTTGTACTCTTTCATGTATGAATGATTTTTTCCTTTAAAGCAAAAAGCCCAATGTGCTGAGGTAGAGAGTTGTCAAACACAGTCTTCCCCTGGAAGTGGAAGAAGGTGAGCTTTTATCTATGCTGGATCTAGGTTGCAAAGCTCTGTGAAGATAAGGACCAAGATTTGAACCTGACACAGTGACTATATAAGCTCATACCTAGCCTTTGCTGTTAGATTGCTTAGAAAACAAAAGGTTTGAACTGGACAGTAGTTGTCCAGAACTGATATATCCACACTGGGTTCCCAGCCTTGGGTTGTCCACTACCTTTTTAGAAGCAAACACCCTGAGAATGCAGGTGGGCTTGTTGTTGGCTGGTTTGGGAGGAGCAGATCCAGGCTGTTACAGAATGTGTGTAATCTTTTCAGCAGTATAAGTTGTAGTTATCTGGAGAGCCGGGTGCTGGGTTCTCCTATGGCCTCTAGGCTTCCAGGACTGAGGAGGCAGTTTACCACCCTGGATAGCTCCTTAGGGCAGGATGTGGCAGCTTCAGTGGAGTTGGCTGTAATACAGCCTTGGCATGGGCTATATACATTATGACAAACCATGTAAGGCATTGTGGAGCCTGGACTATTCAAGAAATATTCAAGAAACTGAATATTTCTTGTTTCTTGTTGTGCAAGATCAGTTATTTTAAATATCAGATAATACCTTTATTTTTAACTTTAGCCCCCCTGTAATTGAACACTTACACTTAACATTTATATTGCTTTTAATTCAAGAAAAGACTGCAAGTATAATGTTCTTCTTGTTCATCCTTCACAGGCAAAGATGATTGCATCCAGTGGGTGCAGGGGGGGGGGAAGAAGAGAGGAAATAGAAAAGAAATGGGAAAGAAACAGGGAAGGAGAAAGGAGAAAAGGAGAAAAAAGGAAAGAGGAGAG